AGTGTCTACTGTAGATCCATTCCAGGGACCTCCCCCCTCGCAAAAAAACAAATCTCTGAAAAACCATCTGTTAGTTGCCAAATTATTGAATCTGTTTCTGGGATGCGGCTGCCTTCAGATACTTGGACTCTTCTGTTCACGGCCGTATTTCCTCGTAAGCTGAACAATATAGATCTCAATAACCTACGTGCCCAAGTGAACTCTTCAGCTGGTTCCCTTCTTTGGGGGTGGGGTTCTTGCCAGGCAAGGATAGCTGTCTTCTGGGCGCTCATCCTTGATTCTGACTCGGCCTTTTAAAGGAAAAAAAGATTTGGCCAGTGAGCCTGTGGTAAAAAGTTGTGATTGATTTCTGGTCTTAAAGGGACCATGATGGGTTCGTAAGCCCACCCCCGTCTCTGTCTGTCCTTTTTCATGATAGGTCTGTTTGTAAACGCCATGTACCCCATGCACCGTGCTATGCTGAAGCGCTCCTTAACAACAAAACAAGTGCTACCAACCTAGCTTGCATGGGCAACCTACCCTACAATAACAGAGCGGAGAGAGCTGCATCCCAGAGCTCACAGCGGTCATGAGCAAAGTACTCGACGCCCGGCTAGAATCCCGATTCCTTAGCGAGCAGGATGATATGGGAGCAGCCGTACAGCACTGATGGGAAGAGGGAAGCGATTTCAGTTGTAAAGAGGTATAGGAAATGAGCGTGATTGAAACCGACTGGGCGAATGATAAAGCCCTACTGTGGTGATGCCCCGTTCATAGTGCAGGACTGGATCAGAAGGTATTGGTTTTAAAGTCTTTTATGTGTGTGTTAAAAAATCCTTGCATAGAAAGGGAGAATTGAAAGGAGGGGGTTGCAAAGTGGGTAGCAGTGCGTGTGTCGGGGGCTTGGGGGGGAGGATGCGTGTGCTGCCATACATAGTGGTAAAGGCTAGAGAGGCATTGGACGCTATGCAAACACAGAGTGACAATTGACAGATAAGTTGTGGGGCGGGTAATCTACGAAGTCCTGGACTGCTGGCTAGAATCCTGATGCTCTGGTAAATGTAGGAGTAATTGATGGCACCAGGACTAATGGTTGCAGAAATGTGTAATTAAAGGCCAGGGGTGATGCGCTCCTAACCTGGGCTGTGTACTGGAGGTTACAGAGGTTGAGTGTGTTTTGAAGGTGATGTCCTGCGATTCACACCACTCTACTAGGAGGAGCTCTGTCAGCCAATGGGCAGCTCAGAATCTCAGCTGTCTTGTGCCTCATTGCGATTTGGGCTGGGAATGTCCTGTTATGTCTGAACTGGGTTAAGTTGCTGTGGGCTTGATTCTCTGCCTAATAAATAGGGAGCCTGATTTTCTGTTGCCCTGCACCTTGTGTCATCACTGAACCCACTGAGGAATGTTGACACCCACGGGTGTAAATGGTACAGGGAGAATCAGCCCCCCGCCCCCATACTGTGACATCAGCATTAAACATAACAAACAGAGCAGACGGGACAATGCAAAAAATACCACTTGGAACGATGCAAAAATGTTCGTATTGTTCAATGTTTGTCATTTCGGAGGGAAGCAAAGCGGCTTTGTGCTTTGGCGGGTTTCTTGTGCATTCTGGCTGGCTTGTGCTTGCCATCGCATAGTGCAGCAGGATCTAGGTGCCCCCAGCTTCCTCTGACATCCCATACTAAAAGAATTTGGGGGGAGGGATAGCTCTGGGCTTGCTAAACCCAGGTTGGGAGCTCAATCCTTGAGGGGTCCATTTGGGGATTTAGTTAGAGATTGGTCCTGCTTTGAGCAGGGGGTTGGACTAGATACCTCCTGAGGTCCCTTCCCACCCTGATCTTCTATGATTCTCTTTGGGGGCTGGTCTATGTAAGAGAATCAGAGTCAACTGCAGCGGCTTAGTTCAAGCATTAGAACCGTATGCGTCTAGCCCCTGAGTTCCTTGGGTTCAAACCCAAGTGCGAGGGTGGGGGGCATTGCGCTGTGTTTATCACTCATCCTCGGGGATGTGCCTGTGTAATAACACAACATGTGCTGCCCTTGTCATTTCTGGATCTCAAAGCGTCTTACGAAGGGAATCAACAGGAATGACTTCAGATTTGCCGAGTGTCCCCTGTTGGTGAGAAGTGGCTGAATGGAGCTCTCTGCTTTCTGGTCTAGGCCGCCCGGGACCAGAACGATAGAATCCAATGTGGGGGGGATTTGGGGAAGAACACCAACAGCGTCATGGTTGGGAGAAAGGACGTCTCCTGTGGAAACTGAAAGGACTGAATACATTTAGCTTGGTGACGGTTAGGGGGTGTGAAAACTGTCAGGAACCCTGGAAAGGTGTGTGACTTCTCCCCCTCAGCTAGCAGAGCGACTCCATTAGCTCAAGAGGTCTTTGGGGAGCCTGCCAAGCCAAGATGGGAGGCTGTGGCATGAACATCATGGGGGGAGGATACGGGGGGTCGTATGACCAGGGGCCAGGGGATGCAATTAAGTGAAGGGCAACGTAGGCCGGCTCTGGCGGGGGAGAGCCAGGGTGGAGCGGTGTCCCGAGGGAATGGAAGTGGACTGGAGCAAGCGCTGCATACTCGGTGGTTGGGGGCGCAGCCTGCAGTGGTGAGGAACGGGGTGGGGGGCCTGAGAGCTCCTTCCCCTCGGAGATGGTGTGAGTGGCCCCGTGCGTTCAACAGAACGGTGAGACTCACGCGTCTCCTTTTGGAGCCTCGGGAAGGCCTGGCTGGCCGAGCTCCACGCCAGCGGGGCTCTCTGTGCGCGGTAAGGAGGGAAAGGCTTCCTGTCTCGGGGGTGCAAATGGAACTGGGCCCTGGCCTTCCAGGAGCTGAGCTGTGGCCTGAAGGGGAGGGAAATAAAAACAGTGAAACCCTTGAAGCCAGAACCAGAGGCCGAGTGCTGTTTTCATCGGAAAGGGAGAGGGTAAAAAATAATAAATCAGAATAAAAAATAAAAACTGGAAGCGAGAGAGAAGGGGGTTGGGGGGAACTGCAGGGAGCCCTGGTCAGTGCACATTCTTATAGTGCAGTATCCATCTGGGATGCGCTCAGCTCTGCCCAGCAGCGTCACTCCCCTGCTCCCCGCTCTGGGCGCTGCTCCCCCATCTTCCCTGCAGCATCCCATGGGCTCCCCCACTCTTCCCTCCTCCCTGGGAGTGCTGAATTGGCCGCGCATTAAAGCCATAAATCTGCTAAAATAAGAACATGCCACGGGGGCTCATGAATAGGTTGAACTTTGCTAAACCTCTTCATGCTTGTTCATCACGTGGCGAACGGGGAGGGTAGAACCATCCTTGATGTCATCTCTCTCCCCCTCCCCAACGCCTCTCCTGGGAACCTGTCTGGGCCAGAGCCCTGATGTCCAAGGTGAGTAAATAACATGGAACGGGAGAACTTTATGCCCTGGATGGATTTATAGTCACCTGAGAAGACGTTAAATGCTCAGGCCTTAGCATCATCCAAAGAGGGGGTTGTTTGATGAATGCTCAGTCCAGATTCAAACCAATCAAGGCGTGGCATATAGAAAGGATGTTGGGAGAAGGTGCCCGGGCATTTAAATTGCAGAGGGATGATCTAGGGAAGACATGTGGCTCCAAACACCTCTGAATGGTACCTCTGGCAGTGGGATGTTCTCCATCTGTTTTGTGCAAGTGCCCCCGAGTCCCGGGGTGTGTCTACGCTGCAATCATGGGGCGTAGACACACCTGAGCTAGCTTTAATCGAGCGAGCTTGGGGGCCGGAGCAGCAAATTACTCAGTGTCCCACGCCCACGCCGAAGCTCCTGCTCCCCTGGCTCCAGTACCCAGCCAGCTAGGTTAAAGCCAGCTCATGTATGTCTGCACGAGCTGCAGTGACATCCAAGCCCCATGACTGCAGCGTGGACGTACCACTAGCATCGCCAACTCCATGTTCTCCCAATACCTAGGTCATCTCTCCACTGCCAGCTTACCATCCCCTTTCAGTATCACATCCCCCGCCATGTTGAGGTTCCCCTGGTGATGCTTGTTCATCTACCTTTTAGCGCCCAAATGGGTCCCAGAATCCTTTGCATTGGTGCAAATGTTTCTGAGGCCCGTGGGAATGGTACGAACTGAGCAGAGGTGGGGCAGGGTCCAATGAGCAGGAATTCCACAGGTGGAGTGGAGAGACAAAGGTGCCCACCCAAGGTCACGCACCGAGTCTGCAGCAGGGATGGGAGTAGAACCAGGAGTCCACGTTCCCAACCTTGCTACTTTAGCCACACGACCATCTTTGCCTGTCCTGCAGGGGAAGCCCTATTGTTTGGTCTCCTCCCCAGTAGAACGGTGTTTTATACAGAGGGGCTAGGTTCCTTCTGGTTGTGCATGCTGCGAGGCTCAGTGAGCGTGGTAATGCCCCCGGCTCTGTATTGGGGGTAGGAGACTAGTTTGTGCATATTCTGCTTTGCATCATCATCATCTGTGCCCTGAGCAGCTCGAGCCACGGGGCAAGATTGATCTCTTAATTTCACTGGTGTAAATCCGGAGTAAGTCCGTGGATTTACAGTGACGTAACCGGGCTGTGGCCTGGCAGCTGGTGGTTATTCTGTGTGAGCTAGGTACGTGTTCCAGAAATAATGTGATTATGTATCTGACCTTGGGCTATTCGCATCCTCCTCTTACAAGGTGATTACTTTTTAATGAGCGGCTGCTGAAAAGAGAGGAAAATTAATTATTTCTGCCTTAAGATTAGCTCTGGGAGACTAGAATAGCCCTGGCCCAATCAATAGCGTCTTGCCAGTTGGACGGAGCCGCGCAGCCTCGCACGGCGCTGTGGGGTGTGGTACAGATTTTCACCCCATGATCCCACGGCACTGGGAAAGGGAGGCTGCTGTGGCCCTGTGGGGAAGTGCCTGAGTCAGAGGAGGTTGTGTCACCTATATTTGTGTGGTGTAAGGTCTGGAGTGGGGAGTCAGAACAGAGGCAATGACGGTGCTGCATTGCACTGTGTATTCTTATGGATGCCCACAGCAAATGACGGGGAAGGCAACTGGTGCTACGACTGGCAAACGCTACCTTTCTCCGATACAGAAATCTCAGCATTCATGCATGCAGTTTGCAGGACAACCTGCAGTGAGCCCCAGTCATGGTCTGTATTTGGGGGAATACCGCCTATTCCACTCGAAAAGGGGGGTATTTATTGTCTTACATTGATGTTAGGGTGCAGTATAAAACCCTAGGGTAAGTGGACTCTAGTAGTGCTTAGAATCCTTGGTCAAGTTTGCCCCATAGTGCGGGGAGCTGCATAAATGTCTGGCAAATGACAGTCCCTGCTCCAAAGAACATACAGTCTAACAGGACGATATTACACTTACCGGTGGGGGCACAGGACTGACCGCTGGAACTCCTGGGTTCCGTTCCTGCCTCTGCTGCTCATTGACAATAACAATTATATTGATGCAACACAGCGCTTCAAACTTAACAGAATGCGAGCCAAGAATAAAGGGGTTGTGTAAGATACCCCATAGCAAGGAAGAGCGTAAGGGTTGGGAAGCTCAAGGAGTCATGATTCTTCATGCTCTGTGCGATTTGTAGTCAGATTTTCTAAAGAGCTTGGTTTCCAAGTACGCAGCGTTACCAACTTGATTTCATCGCGAGTCTTGCAATATTTAATGCTTTGCTTAAAGCCCCAGCTGTTGAAATCAGGAGATTGCATTAGAATCTCAGTTTTCATTTTTAACAGAAGTTTCTAGCCCTTGTAGTCGCAGAGAAAAGCTTGAAAATGAGAAAGAAATACATCCCCAAGGCTCAGAAACGTGAAAACGACTCAAAAGAACCACTGATTAAAAAAAAATTAATCTCATTTGGGATCTGACCAATGATTTTTTGAACACTTGACAGCACCAAATACCCAGTGTTCGTGAATGACATTGCAACAGTTTGGGCCAGGTTTTCACAAAAGCGCAGCCCCCCCCAATGCACTGAGCTCTTGTGAAAAATCTGGCCACTTATTTTGACGTCTAACTAGGAGCAATGGGAGTGCTGAGTACATCTGGAAAATTACGTGCCTCGGTTTCCCCAGTCTGTAAAATGGGAGTGAAAAAACAGCAGAGAGTGCTTTGAGATCCTCAGACAGTAGCTGGTGTGTAAATTCCAAAGGAGAATATTCTAGCGAATGGAATGGAAAAGCCGTTTGCGAATGGAGTGCTGCGGGGATCCCGGCTTTTCAGGCTGCCAGGATGGCCTGCAGAAAAGAAAAATGAGTCAGAAGGCTGGTGGGGAACAAAGGGTTCTTGGAGGGGCCTAACGCCTCCCAGAGGGAACTCATTACACTCTGCGAGGCTCCTGATGGGGGAGGCTGCAGGTGTCACTACCAGGGCCTGAACCACTGAGGAGTTGGAAGGAGTCGTGGGCTCTAGCACCTGGCAGGATCTAAGCCCCACGCCAGCCCTATGTCCCACCATTTCTCAGTGTGGGGCACGACCCCTGGGATGGGCATGAAGGATTCACTGTGGGACATGGAGGATCCATGAGTTGAGGTGGGTTAACGTACGTGTGGGTGTGGGTGGGTGGGTGTGGGTGTGGGTGGGTGGTTTTCCTGAAGGGGGGGCTCGGTTTTCAAACACTCAGGAGATGCCGCTCTGACCTACCTGGGCAGACCGAACTGTGGGGTTGTACAGGGCCTAGCAGCGGGGCTCTGGTCAGAGGTTGGGTCCTTGGTCCATGGCACTATCGCACTACAAGTAAAACACAATTTCTCTAGCTAGAATGCTTGTCTGGCCCCCATCACCACGGTACCTGAGTGCCTCACAGCCTTTAACGTGCTTCTCTTCACAACCCCCCTGTGACCCAGGGCCAGGCTGCTATCCCCTTGGCACACGTGGGGCACAGAGACTAAGCGACTTCCCCAGGGTCACACGGGAAGTCAGCAGCAGAGCAAAGAACTGAATTGAATTTGAAATGATCAGAAACATTTTCAGTGACACAGACGCCTTCATCCCCGACGTAACTGGAATCTCCCTCCCTCTCTGATCTAACCCTTGTTCGGCACCATTGCCTATTGCGTCCATTGCCGTAATATATCCGGGGATCGCTCTGCCATCTCTAAGTGACTTACACCGGGGATGTATTTATCCATGTAGACTTGGAGCTTGTCTAGACTAGGGAAATTAGCACCAGTCCAATTAACATGACTACATTAGTGAAAGTGGCACCATCTTGTGCCAGTACCGTGCATTGCTTACCTTAGGAGTCAAATAGCAGGGGGTGTGATAGAAGTGTATCGAATACTGAATGGGCTAGAGCTTCTGTTCTCCTGGTCCTGTAATACAAGCTGAAGGAGACACTCCATGAAATTAAAAGGGGAAGAAGTTCAGAATGGATTAAATCCAATATGGTTTCACACATGGAATTAGGCTGTGGAACTCACTGCTGCAGGAGGTCATTGGGGACAAGAACGTAACAAGATTCCAGGACGGACTGGATATTAGTATGGCTACTGAGGAAATCCAGAGTTACCATAATTAATAACAAGCCATTTTGCAGAGGGGATATTGACTCTCCTGCTTCAGGGCTTAAACCAATGTTTCCTGATTAGGGAGCAGAGTGAGCCCTAATGTAGGGGCAGATTATCCCACATTTGCCTCCTGCACAGTTCTTACACCTTCCTCTGAAGCCTCTGGTGCTGCCCACTGTGGGAGACAGGACACAGGACTAGATGGACCTTGGGTTTGATCCACTTTGGCAAGTCCCATGTTTCTGTTTGCACTGACTTTAAAATAGTCCTAGTGTTGAAGGGCTCAGCTTGTCCGTGCTTTGGGGCAGGGGCACTGTCTCTTCATCGCGTGTATGTGCAGCAGCCCACTCAAAGGGGCGCTGAGTCCCAGGTTTGAAACCTCTAGGAGCTGCTGCAATATTAATAATGAATTCGGTGATGTATGAACCCTTGTCTGCTACCACCCACCCTCCCCCCCAAATAAAAGATTCTGGCACGACGCCCTGTGACAGGTGAAAGGGCTACTTGAGAAAAGCGTGCTCTCATTTGACACAGGAAATCGGTGCGGGTTTCTAACAGGATCAATAATCCATCCTAGAAGGCATGTGGCTTCATCGCTCTGTTTGCCGCCCCCCTACCCTCCACTCCACACCCCCCTCCACGCCCCCCAAGCCTTGCCTATTCTTCCCCTGTATTAGCCTTTGGGCTTTGTTAGTTGCAGGTTGAGTGGTTCAAATGTGTTAATTCCCTCCCTTGGGTCTCTGTCCAGTGTTTGTAAATTCCCAGAGACGGGCTGTCATTGGCTCGCACAGCACAATGAATACGCAGAGGGGGCTGCTGCGCCGGGTCCTGCGATCCAAGCGGCTGCTTGTTAATTCGTTAGGATAACAGGGCTGAAAACAGCTCCCTCCCCCCCAACCCAAAAACTCTGTTAGGACTGATGGGGACTTTCCTCTCTCATCCTCCAGGGTCAATTCTCCACCTACTGACTGTACCTTGACATGGTGCGTGTTGCCTTTTGAATATCCCTCATGCTTTGCTGGGCACCAGTCCCTGAGCTTTTAGTGGCAGGAGGAATCGTAGGCAGCTCATCGAGTGATACAGTTGCTGTCTGGGTCTCGAGAATATCTCCTGACCTGGCAGATTCCAAGATGGGGAGGGAGCTTGGTTGTTGTTTAATAGGGTAAACCCAACCCAGAGTGGTGAATGGATTCTCCGAGCCAACAGAGACCCTGCCTGCATTAAGGAAATTCACGTGGGCAGAACCCCACTGTTATGCCTACCTCGCTGCAAAGCTGTAATGTGGCCGTGCTGCATAGGTGCGTAGCCGGGCAGCTTCGCCCTGTCACATACCAAAATGAACTGCCTCAGTGTGAGTCCCTTTGTGCTTGTGTCTGTCTGCATTTGGGGGCGTCCCTGGTGTGATTCCAAGGCTGTCGTGACACCGGCACAAATTTCCTTAATGAGGGAAGTGGAGCTGGTCATAATTTTATGTTAAATGCTTTTGACTGTGAAAATAGGCTTTGTTGTCCAAACAGAAATGTATGTGGGAAATCTCCACTTTCAGTCAATGTTCAGGGGCGGTTAATCGACAAACAGAAATCCTTGCGGTCCTTCTAACCCTATGATTTCTATGGACTTTTTTTTAATGTTGTTGTATTTTTTTACTTTATTTATTCAGGTTTTTGGCAACTGAAGGATTTTGGTTTTCCTCAGAAATTTAATGGGGTAAATCCAGAAGTAGCTGCATTAAAAGCCAATTGACTTACTCTGGATTAACACCTACGTACCTGAGATCAGAACCAACCCAAAGCCCCAATCAGTCTCCTGCAGGATGACCTGGGCCCTTGTTTAACCTCTTCATTTATTTTTTGGGGCAATAAATAAATACCAGGGAAAATCCTGCTGTCTTTACTCAGGCAAAATTTTCATTGTCATTGTTCAGGGTTCCAGCTGCATGACTTTACTGACAGAGGATTTAAAATGGCATCTTCAGTTAGTTTAAAATGTTCCAAAGGGGGGGGGGGTTACTTTATTTTAAAACCGAAAGGTGCAGTGTGACCTTGCTTAGCTGAGCGTCAGTTGTCCCCGCGCTCTCTGTTACCTGAACCGATGGCCTCTGAGGTGTCTCAGTTGCAGTGAAAACTACCTTGATTCGCTGAGTTTATTCAGTCCCCCTCCCAGTGTTTTTTCAGTTAATCAGACTTGCGCTGATTTAGGATCCATTACAAGAGATTCAAGGGGTCTTGGTCACCATCCTGTTAGCCCCTGGCCAGGTCACAAACCCAGCTCCGTTAGATCGAGGAGCAGGGGTTTTAACCGTGTTCCAAAACTGGGCAAGCGCCTTTAGAAGGTGACAAGAGCTGCCGGTGCCAGAGACTGGAACCTTCTCTGCAACTAGAAGCATGTTGTGCCTGCCTCCGGGGATAACTGTGGTGCAGGCTGGCCCTGGACTCCATTGTTGTGGTGTAGATGGATGCTGAGGTTTAGGTAGGGTTGCCAACTTTCTAATGGCACAAAACTGAACACCCTAGCCCCGCCCCTTCCTGAGGCCCTGCCGGGGATGAGGAGGTTCAGGAGGGGGCTCCAGGTTGGGGGGGTGTCTCAGGGCTGGGGCAGGGGGTTAAGGCTCGAAGTTGGGGCGTGGGCTTACCGCATCTCCCGGTCAGCGGTACGGGGGTGGGGGGGGAGGGGCACTAAGGCAGGCTGCCTGCCTGTCCTGACCCCGTGTTGCACAAGCCCCGGAAGCAGCCGACAGGCCCGACGCTATTAGGTGGAGGGGGGGCAGGAGGCGCCGCGCGCTGCTCTCGCCCGCTGCTGGCACAGTCCCCCCCAGCTCCCATTGGCCGGAAACCGGCCAATGGGAGTGCGGAGCCGGTGTTCGGGGCTGGGGCAGCACGCAGAGTCCCATGGCTCCCCTGCCTAGGAGCCGGGCTTACTGGGGTGCAGCGTGGTGCCCCAGGACAGGCAGGGACTAGTCCGCCTTAGCCCCGCAGCACCGCCGACCATACCTTTAACGGCCCAGTCGGCGATGTTGATCGGAGCCGCCAGGGTCCCTTTTCAGGTGTGCTGGTCGAAAACCGGATACCTGGTCACCCTAGGGCCGGCTTAGGCCTTCAAAGCTGCCTGGGGGAATCCAGCACCCTGAATCCCTCCATCCCTGTTTTGTGTTTCTAGTTTTACCAATTCAGCTGAGCTTGTCAGGCGAAGGGAAAGTCACTGCAGTGAGTAGAGTGAGCAGAAAGGGGTGTGTGGGGCGGTGTGCAGGGGGTGCTGCAGAAATAGGAAATGTTTATACATGCAGAAAGGGCTGGAGTGACGCTGCTGCTCTTGGGAGTTAGCATTTTTCTCATTCTTTAGCGTTCACACACAGGCTCTCTGTCTCTCACCCGCACACAGCACTAGACCCCACCCCCACCGGTTCCAGAGCTCATTTCCCGCTGGGGTTATTTACAGCCCATGAAATCCAGGTTACTCCCAGCTCAGAAGCAACCAGCCTCCCACTCCTGGAATGGTCCGCGGACTAACGAGGGCCCTGCGGAAAGACTGCAGCTCTCTGCCCTGCTAGGAGCTTCAGCGGCTATTTACCATGCTGGAGTACGTAGGCACCATGTTTCCTCCTCTCGGGGCTCAGTGAGAGAGCCAGCGGGGGCTGCTCTGTACCAGAGGCATGTGAGGGACAGGTTGGAGTTCTTGGGTCGAGCCCCCGCTGCTCTTGTGCGGTGGAATGTAGCCAGCAGCTGCAGGACTCAGCCGCGGCCACACAAAGCACTTTCCCAGACACGCCGTCAGTGGTTCCTGGTGGTTTGAAACAGTTTAATTGGAGACCCGGAGGGTGGCGATGTGGGCCAGCCTGCTCCTGAGTGGACCCGTCCCTGCCCGCGAGCTCAGCTTTGAGGCAGGCAGACCGGCCGCACTGGAAAGCAGGTAAATGCCTCACGGTGCACACTCCCCATGGGCCAAGCGATAGAGCAGGATTCTGCTGCCAGGTCCAGCCTCTCTGCGCTGCTCTGGCTGCAAGAGGAGAATTGCCCAGCGCAGGCCTGCTGTGTGAGACCCTGTGCTGCCCTCCCCCACGAACCCCTCGGCGGGGGGCATGACAGGGCACGCAGGCCCCTCGCCTGGTGCTACAGAGGCTCTGGGCGGCTCAGGGCAGCAACGGAGCCCCCCAGAGACTGCCACCAGTTAGCGCACCCCCAGCTGTGGTCAGTCCAGTCCCTGGCACAGCTCGGCGACCCAGGGCACAATGGCGGCTTAAAGCCACTTCCCCAGGGCTGCTTCTTGAGGAGGGCCAGCGTGGCATTGTAGCGTTTAGCACCGGGCCCCTGGATTCTGCTCCCAGCCCTGCCCCTGCCCCTGGCTGACCTCAGCCAAGTCACCGAGGCCTGTGTTTGCAAAAGTAACCGCCAAGTTAGCTGGCCCTCCTGGAGGCACCTGGGGCCGGCTTTCTGAGGGGCTGGGCACCCACAGCTCCGACTGACTTCGTTTGGAGTGCTGGGTGGACACGTGAAATTAGAGGTCCCTTCCAGAAATGTAGCTGCTCTCTCCGCCTCCATTTCCCGTCCGTCCAGTGGGGATAACCCTCAGTCTGTGTTTGTCGGGGCGTTGTCGTGCTGCCCTGTGGAACTCGGCCTGTTCTGTACCGCAGTAACTATTCTGTTCTACCCAGGTTCCCATCACGGTGGAATCTGTCTGCCTTCTGGCCAGGCTCGAAGTGTTGTGACGAACGTCTGTCCTGTGGGGGTCATCCTCTCTGCCCTCCACTCCCCAGTGGGAGGATTGGGGGGCAGAGTGTCTTGTTTTGTTGGGGGTCTTGATTCTGTGAGAACCTAGAGGTCTCCTGCTCATCTCCTTCAACTGTTGCCTCAAAAGCACATGTCCAGGTGGAGTCGCACATGTCCAGTCTAATGCTGTGGGGCTGAGTGATCTGATCTTTGAGGACTTTGCCAGGTGCTCAGAATCCACTGTGCTTTAGATCTCATGTAATGCGATAAGTGGCAACCTTGTTAGCACATGTCTGCGCACAGCGGATGGGTTTAGTTCTGTCCTGCTTCAGGCTGTCAGCATAGCAATAACCTAGGAATCTGTGGGTGTTCCTTGGCCTGTAGCTGATCATATTTTAGCTTTTCATTTAAGAGCCTCTTTCATCCTGAATGCCCCCTGCAAACTGCCATTAGATTAACACAGCACCCCTGAAATCTATCCAGCCCTGGGGTGGAGGACCGCCATTCCCTGCTGGACAATAGGAATAGTTTGCACTCCGGTTGCACCTCTTATCAGAGAGTCTCCAAGTGCTTTGCAAAGGTTAGCTGAGCCTCGCAACACCCTGTGAGGTAGGCAGTATTATTTAGTATCATCCCTTTTCTTACCAATGAAGAGACTGAGACCTGTGAAGAAACTTGCCCAAGGTGGCGCACAAACTCAGTGGCAGAGCTTGGAATGGAACCCAGGAGTCCTGACGCCTGGTGCTCTGGCTGCTAGATGCGCTCTTGTTCTCCAGAACGGAGCGTGGGCAGGGGCACTGAGGAGGGCATGGGAACTCCTTAACGTCCACCTGGAGCAGCCAGCACCTTGGCTTTTAAGGTCTCAACTGGATGACTGACACACAAGACGGAAGGGCCAACTCAAGGCAAATGTGCCACTGATGTCCCGCTTTCACGTTTGTTGAGATCTTACGTGGCGCAGAGGCCTGGTGCACAGGTGTGAATTTCACCCACGATGCATTGCATGTCACCAAGCCTTTACCTCTCTTGGAAGGAAGAAGGGCAGGGCGGGGCCCCTGTGGTTTTGGACAGCCAAGGAGCATGTCTGGTTAGAGGAGCATCTGTCCACTGAAGACCACACCCTTCCTTTTGTGTAGTGATAACACTTGGATCATTTGTTTCCATGCAAGTAGGGCACTGAGATGCCTTCAAGCCACCCCCATCTCCAGGCTGGAGAGTGACTGTGCCCATGTGCCCCCAGAACCCCAGTTTGCAGGCACAGATCTGCTCTCCTTTATTCGAGTCCTGGCCGCTGCACACGCTTCCGCTCACAAAGTGCAAGGGGCAGTTCAGGAGGCTGCTCGGACCATTCTCAGCCCTTTCGGTTAATACAACGAGGAGGCGAAACCAAGAGAACAATGGGA